ATCAAGAATAAGACTGAGAAATATCCGTACTAGAGAAAAACATATTTAGAAAAGAACACTGTGTATTTTCCCATTTTAACAACGATTTCTTCATTGAAATTAGTAATGTTAATTTTAGTCATAGAAAGCAGAGATACGCTGACAGCTAGCAATGAAGAAAAGCAAATTAGCTATTCCCCTCTTTAATTAATCAATTTAGAAAAACATGAAATGCTAAATGTTTCTATAGCAGAGAGGATTAAAGAAGTAAAACTGAGAATCAGATTGATTCTACAAAATTATTATCATGACCCCAAAGCTCCTTTTGATCTATAGCGATGAGTACAAGCTAAAATAATAATAAAACGTACCGGCCGGGAGATGGTTAGAGTAAAATACATAAAAAGGCCCTCATATTTCATCAATGAGAAACCTAGCAGGCAAAGCTCATACTTTGGATACTTGGATCAAAGAGAAATTGCAAATTCTATTTTTGTAACGGTGAAATATGGAAGGGCTTGTACTTTCCTCCCTCTTTCTTAACTTAATCTTTAAGCCACCCCACAACCCAGATTCTTGGCTGGAAAGCAATATCCAAAGTACCTTACAAGATAGCAATATACATAGATAACTTGAGAGAAGGATATTGTATCTACTGGAATGCTCTTGAAGTTTAATTTGTTGAATTAGAAACTGGAAGGGGATGGAAGGGAGATTGTGGTGATGATGGTGAAGAATAAGAAGAAACCGACAAAATAAGAAAGGTTGCTGCTTGGATACTAAGGTCTTCGTTTTTTTTTCCCATATTGCTTCGAAAAGAAACAAACAAAAGGCAGGTAATGTTACGATAGACGTGGAGGTACCGCATCCCTGGCACCATATCATTGGCAAATTTTACGCAATATGCATAATATGCTTGTGAGAACCATAGAAAGTTGTACAGAAAAGCTAAGGTACTAGAGACCACAATCAAAAGGTAGGTAGCCAATTTAAAAAAAGACGAATAGAAATCTAAAAATGGCTGAAATTAGGAGATATGAAATGATATTAATAATAATAATAATAGTAATAAAAAAAACTATTGTTCCTTTTTGGATTATGTGCTTTGAGGTTATTCAGGTCAGATAATAATTATAAATTTTTTGCATTTTCTATGTCTGATAACGGCAGCCGTTCAAGGAACAACGATGATAACCAATCCAATTCTATATTCACTTCTCTAGGGGTTAGTTACCGGAAATTTGGTATTTCGTTTTTTTAACGTAATATTTCAGAAATGTCGTTATCAGCAGACGTAGGGCTGTGATTCTTCTTTTTGTAATTTTAGTAAGATTAATACATTTGTTCTTTTCTTGTTTTTGTCTTCGACATGTTCTTTTTATGATCTTGAGGTTCTATATTTTAAAGTAGGAAATAAAAATAATTAAAATTTATAGTGAAGCAATGCCTAGCCAAGAAAATTATTTTGGAATAGGGGCCATAAAACAACAAGAGAAGTTAAAATAAATCAAATTCTAGTTCAAGTATTGCATGCCATAGAGAAGTCATAAAAGACACATATACCGTACTTATATCTTTTGCTCTCCTCAGTTTATTAATGGTGAATTTATTTTTAAGTTGGAATATACTACTAGATATTATTCAATTAATTTAAATTTTTTTATTATCATATTGATCGTAATAAATAAATTTGTCCTCACAATATTTGCATATCAAGCAGAGTAACGTAATAATAACCATGATTGTCAAGTAATTGAATTTCCCATGAACGTTTTTTTATAATTAATATTTCCTTTTAAAGATTTTTTTACTGTCACCAAGACTCACCATTGCGTTACCTAGCGCAGTACAAAATTGATTTTATGCACAACGCAAGCAATTAAAATCTTCCAATGCAATGGTCTGCCAGTTTTGGATTCAATCAGATTGTTTATTTACATCAACTAGACAAGCAATAAAAAAATGAACCCATAAAAGTTTTTGGTCTCGTAGAGATATCTTTTAGAACACCTACACTTTTTCTTTCTAACCCTCCCATGACATGAAGTTAATTAATCATATCTACATGTTCATTGTTTCATTCGGACAAATAGGATTTAGTCTGATCCGATTGAACTGAATTAGAATTGGATAGGAAACATAAAGAATTAGTATTAATAATTTTAATACATTTTTAGTTAATTGAGTTTTCCTTGCATAGTAATAGGTTTATCTCGGTTGTTCCGCTTTTCTGACAGACCGTCCCCGCCTAATTTTCTATTGCTTAGTCTTTTCCCATTCCTATTTAACAACAAGAAATAAAGATTTGGTAACTACGGCTAAGACACGACCAATAGTTCATCTCTCAAGGAAGTAGGAGGAGCACGTCAATTTTTAAACATATATAGAATTATGAAAACACACTTTGTGAGCTATGATACTTACTGACAAAAAACAGCAAAATATCAATATTAACAATTCTCATTAGTAAAGAAACTAGATAGATAGCATCTTTCTATATTGAACCTCAATTCATGCATCCCACCCGCTCTTTCGTAATCCCCTCTTAAGCCATTACTTTTGTTTTTATTCTTTGGGTTCATTCTATTTCATGGGTACCAATCGTCTCTGTCCAATAATTTTATCAATCGTGTATATGATCTGACAAACGTTACTGTTGTGATTGTGTTTTTGTTACGCCGTTGTTGCTACTGCTAGAATCATATTTTGATTCCCCTTGCTGCCATAATTCCCCACCCTCCCTGGCTTTCACTATCGCCATCACCATCACCATTACCATTTTTTTTCTTGTTTCCCTCCAGCATTATTATCACCCTAGTTCTATCCCTTCGCACCAGCACCTGCACCTGCACCTGCACCTGCACCTGTAGCAGAATCTACCACCACTACTGCCACAATATCCCTGCCTATCCATTTTCCCCCGTCTGCACTCGCCCGCTCCCCAAGACCCGTCAAAGGAATACATTTCCCTGGTACACGCATTTTTCCTTCCGAAAGAAACTGGACCCAGGCTGAACATCAAAGAAAAAGACAGACACGAGCAGTAAAAGCAACGAACATATGCTTAATTCCATAATAATAACACAATATTTTATTATTAATCTCCTATCGTTCCGTATCTCTCTCTCTGCCCCCTCCCTCCCCCCTGTAGGAATCAATGAAAAATCTAAGAAAAGTACACTGAGGTAAAATGAAGAAAAAAAAAAGAATTAGATATAAATCAAACAATACGCTACTGGGCTACAGCTTTTGAAGGAGTGGACTGAAAGAAAGAGAGAAAACCACTAAATTTTCTTCAAAATCGGTCGTTGTCGTTGTCGTTGTCGTTGTCGTTGTCGATGTCGATGTCGATGTCGTTGCTGCAACAGCTAGCAACTCTCTACCTCCCATCCCCCCGCTCCCCCCCTCCACTGACTCTTTTATTTTTAAACCAATCTGATCCAATCCCACTTAATATTGAAATGAATATTTCAATTTCAACGTATCTCTTTACTTTTCATTTCATGTTTCTACTGATATGTCACTCTAAAATTCTTTTTATGGCAACCATCCGTAAAGGAAAAATTTAAAATATGTATTTATTTTTTTAGTTTCCTTCTTTCTGAAATAAACGTCAATGCTCAAGAAAACTAGCTATATCCTATATACTCTTCCAATTAACTGGAACTGTTAAGAAATGTAGTAAGACTTTATTTTACAACTTACTAAAATAAACATTTACATCCCGTTTGTTCTAACTATCACACTATTATTAGTTATATCTTATTCTCCTACTTGCTTGGCTCAACTCAGCTCTCCTATTCTTTTTAGCTTTTGCTTTTGCTTTTACTTTTTTTTTCCTATTTTCCACTTAATAATAATTTTATAAATCATTAGCTCTAAATGATGTTGAATATTATTAAAAATCCGGTAAATTTGACTAATATTGTTGAAATCACACTATACTTTCTGAACAGACCTTTAAATTTTTCATTTACAAATCGAATTCCTATTTCGAACTAGCTTAAAAACTCTCTTTTACTTATTTTATTCTATTTTTTTTTTTGTTACTATTCTCCCTCTCTCTTGTTCTTGTTAATTGCTTAGTTAGTACCCACATTACTTTTGAAATTTGATCCTATTTATTATATATACTGGTTTTTGCATCTGTGCTTATGCTTCTCTAGTGATTAAAACAAATTTAGTATCTATTTTATCTCTCTTCTGTAATAATATTTAAAATTTGTATATGATCCATGTTTAATATTAGCGATGGTGATGAGGTGTCTAGTATTTAAGTTAAAGGTTCTGTCTGTCCTTGGGGTGGCTCATTCCACATTCATCTTGATATCTCTGTCAATATAGTTGATAGTGGTTTCTTTTTTATCATTGATGCTTGTTAATAAATTTTTCTTCTTCTTCTGCTTCTTCCCTTTCTGCCTTTTGCTATTACTATTAACCATAGTTTAGTATTTCAACTGTTTCTAGATTTTTCAATTTTCTACTTTCTGATCTTGATTTCAGAATTTATATATATATACATGCCTATTTGGTTTTTGAATCAATCCTTGAATCATTTTGTTGTATTCTATAATTCCGATTAATACTGTTTTCATTTCAATTATACTATCTTTATATTATCTGTTTTACTTGGCCTCATATATATATATATATACATTTACTTGTGTAATACAATTTTACAATAAATTAAAAAATTAGAACTATAGGAACAACTACAAAAACGAAAAGACATCAAGTTAATTTCAAACTATTATATCTTGACGACATTTTTTTTATATTTAAAAGGGTGACGCTATACTTGTAAACTATTGATATTTTATTTCAATCATCAATTAAACAAAAGTACATTATTTCACCTGTATTGCTGTTTCTACCAAGTTAACAAAGATATAATTATTGAAAAGAACAGTCAAAAAACATTACGATAACCTTATAAGCACATATAATAATAATAATAATAATAATAATAACATTTTTATTAGAGGGAATTATATCCTTTTTTTATTTTTACCAAATTTTAAATGAATACTACAAATTACCCTCAAGAGACCGCTAATGCATGCTGGCCTGTGTCCGCTACTGCAACTACAACTACTACAACTCAACCAACCAATTTAAGATCAACTGCAAGAATATTTAGTACTTCAAATGGTACCCATGATTCTTTTAGAAAATTGGATTCCAGAGTAACATTACCAACCTTTTCAAATATCTCGGTATCTGATCCCTATAACTACCACCATCGTCACCAGCAACAGCAGCAACAACAACAACAGCAACACTCACAACAACCTCAACAACAATATGTGCAACAGCAACAGCAACAACAACACCCACAACAACCCACTAGGACTTTATCGTTAGGCCAGAATTATTCTAAACCATTGTTACCGTCAATGATGCAGAGTAATGACTCAAATAATGTTGCTGTCACTCCTACAAATAATAACTTGTTGGTGGGAAATCCAGCAGTCTCACCATTGATGTCACCTGCAAACCAACAGGATCTGACTTTCAAAAGTTTTCATCCAATGCCTTCAATGCACCAGCACCAAGAGATCGCTCAACACTACCTACCAAAATCTGCCACTATCCTATCCCCTACTGATCATCAGTCACACATGTCTGCTATTCATTCAGGAATCCCAATAACCTCTCCACCAACTTCTCGTAAGAATACTCAAGAGCTAATTGCTAAGTCAATTGCAGAAAAATACAAGGATAGGCCTATCTCTAATTATATCACTGTTGTTAAATCTGCTGAAATGGATTACTTAAATTTGAACCCTTCTGTACATCCAAAATCTGTTATTCAACAAGCTGAACAAGTTAGAAGAAGAGAGAGACAAGTTTATGCATTCATATGGCTAATGCAAAATTGTACCGCTGACTCAAATAGTTATGTTCCAAGAGGTAGAATTTTCTCACAATATGCCACATCCTGTGCCAAAAATTCTTTAAAACCATTATCTCAAGCTTCATTGGGTAAGTTTATTCGTTCATTATTCCCAAACTTGAAGACTAGAAGGCTTGGTATGAGAGGTAAATCTAAATACCATTACTGTGGTTTGAAGTTGGTTAGTGATAACGGACACCCACCATCTACCGTTATGTCACCTTCTTCTTCATCGTTATCATCTGTCAGTTCTGGAGCAAATAGTGCTGGTACAACTAATTCTGCTACTTCAAGTTCTGACATGGGTGCAAACACTTCATGCAACACTGACTCTCAAACACGATCACATCCTGTTCATGGCATGCGTTCAAAATTGAATAACGAAATCAAGATAATTAGCAGCTTGCACTCTCCAAACTCCATCCTATCTGATAATTCTCCAATGTTTGAAGACAATGATTCCAATGTTAGCACTAACCATTCCAACAAGAATCATAGTGAAGATGGTTCTCCATTATCAGAGGAGATTCAATACGAAGAAGATGACAATTTTGAAGATGATGAGGTCGAGGAGGATGATGAACGTGATTTAGCATTCCGCCCAGATGCTAATGGACATGCTCGTGCTTCAAGAAGTATGAAGAATAAGGATAGTTTAATTAGCATTGATATTCCATACAGCAGTAATTTGTTTCAATCTTTAACTGCCTTCGAGGATATCAATACTGGTTCATTTACGCTAAAATTTCCAAAGATATCTATCGACAAACTTCCTAACAATGTCGATAGTGATGTTATATCTTCCATCGAATCGCTTTATAGCGTTCATTGTAACACTTTACACCAAAATATCCACAATATGAAATTTGATGCGGAAGCTCAAAGTTGTTTGTCAATTTATAACAATGGCTTGCTGTCATCTCAACTGTACTATTTATTTATTTCTGATCAGTTATGTGATTGGATATGCGAATGTGACATGATAACACATAGATCTTTATTAAGATATTATACTAAGTTAATGTTAAGTGAAAAGGTTGACACAAACAAGATAAATAAGGAGACATTATCAAGACTAGAACAATTTTGCAAGGAGTATACATCTGTATTAGCAAACAGCATTACAGATTTACCAAAGCCTATTGTTGATAGGAAATTGGAGATTGCAAAGAAATTTTCTGAGTTATTAAATACTTTGGTTACTTTAACCAGAGTATCTCAAAGTTTTTCATTACAGTTATCTAATTGCAATCCTGAAAATATGACAAAGGACATTCTAGTTGACAAAATAAATTTTGATAATTTATTAGAATTTGCAGGCTGTTCTGATATAGAAAGGAAGGAAACAATCAAAAATTTTATTTTGGAACAAGTACTATCGATTATGAGTCACCCAGTATGTGGATCTGAAGATCACAAGATTGAACCAAGTGAAATTTTATCAAGAATGTTTAAGTCACATTGTGAATTCTATTCTAATTTCACAGATCTTCCCGCAAGTAAAATAACTTGGACTTCAACTAAATTTGCTGATTCCTCAATGAGTGAAATTATTATTAAAGCTAATGAAGTTGTTGTACCATGGTTGTATTACAACAATATATGTCACCATTTATCATACTTCTTGTTGGAAGCCAATTCATTTTTATTTTAATTAATCCAACCATAATTCAGTGTTTTATGGTTGCGTGGTTTGCGATTATTATTACTATTATTATTGTTATTATTGTTCCTATATTTTTATTTTCTATTTATTTATCTTCTTTCTCCACCACCACCAGTCCCATCACTGCTACTACGATTAAGAAAAGAGAAACCAAGATATTTGATACAGTGGCGGTTGCTAATTGCTATTATATCAATAACTTCTAACCTTATTTATGCATGTTATCTAACAAATGGGAAGACCTATAACGTTAAGATCTAATTAAAAAAAACATTATTACAGAAAAAAAAAACTTATGAAATAAAATTCAAATCAAAAATTCCCCTCGAACAATGAAATAAATGATAATAATAATGATCACTATTAATTTCTCTGCATTACAATTTTTAATTAACAGTTGGTTTGTAAATATTCTTATATATTAAAATAAAAGATACATAAATTTTAATATTAAATTTCTAATATCCCAAGTTTGTATTAGATTGGATAACGTTGATTCAATACGTGTTATCAGTTACTGACATCAACAACGATATGTAGACTATTAGCTACTTGGAGTTATCTTAGTGTTACTTTGAACTTTACAATGCTATGTTATAACATCTCATCTGATCTCATCTGATCTCATCGCATTGCATTGCATCTCCAGATTGAAACTCGTTTCGGAATGATTCTAGAAGCTTCTAGAAGAATTTAGTGAAGTTTCTGTATGCGAGGAAAAGAAAAAATGCGGTGATGCCTTTTTTGACTATAATTTTTGGGAAATAAGGATAATGCAAACTAAAGAAGTTGAAATATATAAAACGAGTAGTTTGTACAACTAATATATGTATTTCTAAAATATTGGTACTGTTATATTATTCAATTATTTATTGCTATGTTGTTATAATTTTTTCTCTCTCTCATAAGATCCTTTCTTGTTAATTGTAAAGATTTTATTTACTTCTATTTTCAAGACACTAAAAAGATAATAGTAACATTGAAGATTTGTATTATTGTCAATAACTTTGAATCCAATTGGTTAATTGTTTCAAGGGCAAATATTCGTGAATAATAAATTTTATTAAGGTATTTAATTGTTGCTTATTTTTAAAGATTACTCAATTTGATAATACCCAATATCTAGGACTGCAAACAATTCAAAAGAAATAATATAGTTCAATTTTTCCTATTTGATAAGTTAAAACTTACGTGCATCGATTACATAACAGATTAAAACAAAACGAAAAATGGTTAAGGAAACAGGTTTATATGATCTTTTAAACGTTTCTCCTACTGCTAATGAACAAGAAATTAAAAAAGGTTATAGAAAAGCTGCTTTAAAGTATCATCCAGATAAACCTACTGGTGATACTGAAAAATTTAAAGAAATTAGTGAAGCTTTCGAAATTTTAAGTGATGCAGAAAAGAGGGAAGTTTATGATCAGTATGGTTTGAAAGCTGCTAGAGGTGAAGCTCCTCAATTTGCTAATGGTGGTGCTGGTGGGTTCCCAGGTGGCGGTGCTCATACTTTCACTAACGATGATGCTTTCAATATTTTCTCTCAATTCTTCGGTGGTAATGCAGGTGGTCAAAACGCTAATTTCAATTTTGGTGGTATGCCAAGTGGCATGGGAGGCATGCCAAGATCATCTAGATCTAGTTATACCAATTTCGGTGGAATGGGTGGTATGCCAGGTGGTATGCCAGGTGGTATGCCAGGTGGCATGGGTGGTGGCATGGGTGGCATGGGAGGAATGCCAGGTGGATTTGGTGGTAGCCCAAGAGAAAGTCAACCTGAAGAAGTTGTTCAAGTTGACTTGCCTGTCAGTTTAGAAGATCTATTTGAAGGCAAAAAGAAAACTTTCAAAATTGGTAGAAAAGGACCAAATGGTGAAGCTGAAAAGGCACAAATTGAAATTGCATTAAAAGCGGGGTGGAAAGCTGGTACTAAGATTACTTATAAAAACCAAGGTGATTATAATCCATCCACTGGAGGCAGAAAAACTTTACAATTTATTCTAAAGGAGAAACCTAACACAAACTTCAAAAGAGATGAAGATAATTTAATATACACTCTACCGTTAACATTCAAAGAATCCTTATTGGGATTCCAAAAAACTATAAAGACAATTGATGGTAAGACGTTACCGATCTCCAGAGTCCAACCTGTCCAACCATCTGAATGTACGACATATCCAGGTCAAGGTATGCCGATATCAAAATCAGTTGGTCAAAGAGGTGACATGATAGTTAAGTTTAAAGTTGGATACCCAACATCTTTAACTGAGGATCAAAAGCGCGTTATCAACGAAAACTTTTAAACTTGAAGGACTTTTATTATAACTGTTTTGTTAATGTCGTGGTGCCTTAAACCAAAGGTGATCAATCAATTCATTTCATTTCAATTTTTTTTTGTTTTTAGTTAAAACAATGACTACGAAAGAGAAATGATCAAGTGACTAACAAATGAGCAGAGATCAAGAAAATTCAAATAATCAAACATGCAAGCGAAAAAGCAAAAAAAACAAAAACAATAAAAACACCAGAGATACAGTGTATATTATTTTAACGTCTTTAGGGAAACCATGATGATGACCATTCCCACTTAATTATTAATGAACTAATCAAAGTGTGATTAACATTAAATATATATAAAAATGAATTCATTCATTAAAAGTAAATAAAAATAAAAATAAAAATAAAATAGTACAATAGAATATAATATATTATCGATATAGAAAAAACACGACAACATGTATATGTATATTATTAGGGTTTATCAGTATATTTTTAATATTGATCGTTGTAGAAATGGATATTTCCAAAAAATCTTGAAGATGTTTAGTTTTCCAGTGCAGAAGGAAGGTGGTGGTTAGGGAACTATGATTGGGATTGTGTGATATAGACAGGGTTGTAATGTAATGTAATGTATATAAAAAAAAGACAGTATCCGATTGAGAGTAAGTAGAATTTAGTATACTAAAATAGAAATAGAATTATTGTTTAATAAAATAGAAATAAAATAGGAATACGAAGTTTCGTAGGTTATGCGATCAGGTCGTACAAAAGAGATGCCAGCATCGCTCAGTGATGAACAAGCAATATCTCGTTGAACCAAAAATAGCAACGATCTCTCGAATTATTTAGTTCGAGGACAGACATTCTCCGATTGGGAAAGAGAGAGAGACAGAGAGAGACAGAGAGAGAGAGGTTAGTGATAAATGGCATCCTTTGCAAGCAAGCAAGCGAACAAGTACAAGACGGTATTATGCAACCAAAGGTTAAGAGAGGGATATGTTCTGTTTTATTTTAATTCTATTTTAATTCGTTTTGCTTTAATTTATTATGTTATATTATGTTATGTTATGTTATGTTATGTTATAATTGTATTTGGGAATGAGAGTGTTACTGATGGATACTCCCTTGGATATGTATTTTTGCAGAGATGCAAGCATAATAGACAGTTTGCGGTTGTGGCTAGAACACCAATGGATCTGTAGCGGTTGAGCGAGGGGACCAGGCAACCAGATCCATCGGTTTGCAGAAGTCGAGGCCTAATTGTTTTAGAAGGATGGAATTTCTGAATGTAATGTCAAGAATAGTGTTGTAAATAATTGTATACGTTTTTATGCCAGCCGAGGAAGTGATTAGTGATTAGTGATTAGTGATTAGTGAGTATGAGATTGAGTATTGTATTGTTTCAACATAGTTTAATACGAATGGATTGTAAGATCTATGACACCAGATAATAAGTGTTATTATCGTTCATACTTATAAAGAATAATAGTAATTACTATTTGAAACAATTGTATAGTATTGTATATTATTTACTTACTTTGTACATTAGAAGAAGGGAATATAGAACTCTTTAATTAATAAATATACTTATTAACAGTACTAATCTACCACCAAATAGACGAATAGAATAAATACCATAACAGCATTTACTCGACGTACAATTATTAGATATCTACAACTAGGCATGGCCGGGCAACTCGGTGCCCGGCCGTTTTTTTGTTATCACATGACTTTTTCGACCTCTTTTGCGGTCCATCAGAAGCTAGTTACAGACAAATCCCGCAGCTTCCTTGGTGCACGACCGGGCGGACAACTTTCTCAAAAAGGACATTTACTATGAGGGCATGTTTTTGACCTTGCTGCCCATCCATGCCTATCTACAACTAAAGAATTCACAACAAAGAATACAGTATTTTGTGATCAGCTGATACCAACATAAAAGAAACCACTTGTGGCATAGTCTAAATCTTGTTTTTTTAGCCATTGAGCAAGCAGAGCAGAGCAGAGAGGTGGGTATAGCTACCAATGAGGGTATATATTTGGAATCTTGTTTCTAAAGTGAGCGACGCCGAAGATCGTAGTAATGAAGAGATCGGATTGGACGGCGGATTATATCAGCCGTTAAAAGGGATAGAGACATGCGTCTGTGCTTTGAGTACATGGGTGAGTAGTGCCGTGTGAGGGGACTGCCTTCTCTCTTTTGCCGGGCAGATAATGTTGAGTTTATGTTGAGTTGGCCCGTGCTCAGGGACAGGCAGACAGGTAGACACGCACGCACGCACGCACACACACACACAAGTTCATATAGAAATATCTTTTTATGCGGAGGATAAATCCGTGGGAGTTAATATAGCGAAAGGGAAAAAGCCAAAAAGAAAAAGAAAAAGAAATACAGAAAAAAGAAAAGAAGGAAAAACTGGTTGCCAATCAGCAAGCTCCTCCCTTACCCGAGTTTCTTCGCATGCGTCTTACGGTTTGTCTCAAATTTCATTTTTTGGATTCCTTCTGTCTGGTATTCTCTCTGCTGGGCTGTTGGCGAGATCTAGAACTATTGTCTTTGGGCGAATCCCGCCCATTGCAGGGAAGAGCGAGCACCAATAGAATAGAGCACACGAGAATTGCACAACAGTCATACACGACACCACACGACACCACACCACACCACACCACACCACACCACACCACACCAGACTAGACATCGGGCCAGACAGCCGTTGCACCATGACTACTCTGGGAATGTCGCGAAGCTAATAAGCTCTGAGCACGGGCGCGTAGAAAACCAAAGATATCGGAAGTGGCAATGTGTTTCTTTTTATAGCAGTCGTTTTTCTTGTTCTTGTTCTTGTTCTTACTCTCTTTTTTTTTTTTTTAAATATTTTGGTTTTCCTGCTCGATTCCCTTCCTCCGCCAGCCAACTGCACACAGTTTCGGTTTCAGTTTTCTTTGTTGTCGCTTTGCTCTTGCTGTTGCTGTTGATCAAAAAATGCATACGGACCACAGCCTGAGAGAAGAGGAATAGTTAGTTAATTAGTTAATTAGTTAATTAATAATAATGAATTGGGTTGAGTGATAAAATATGGTCCAAATTGAAAGATATAATGAAAAACTGGGTACGATAGAATGAGTGCATGCTTTTTTTTGAATGTCCCCAATACGGCAATTTCCCAACTGCCTTGATCCATTTCAGTCCATTTCAGTCCATTTTAGTTCAGCTCTCAGTCATTTGGAAAAAACAGACACGACAGCAATTTTTACCATCGACAACTTTCTTTTCCTAATGCGCAAGCGCAAGCTCAAGCTCGGGCTCAGGCTCAGGCTCATGCTGAATAACTAGATTTCTTGTAGTTAACCGTTAGTGTTCGTGGTATTGTATTACAACAACCTATCGTCACCATGAAGAATACACTAAAGTTTTTCATCTTTTTTTTTCCATTTCATTTCATTGATGGAAGGTACAACTCATAAAGAACTAGCACTAACACTAGCACAAATTACCTTGCTTACAACAGTTCCTGTCCACCATACATACATACCATCTCTGAAAATTCACTAACCTCTCACCATGGCATCGTCGTGGGTTATCAAATATATTCTTTGAGGTCTTTGTCTGAAAACGCTAAAACTGCAAGACTCCTTCTGATACAGCAGCTGAGTGCCTCTTTAAAACTAAATCTAAATCCAAATGAACGACCCACCCACTGTGATAGTATTCTATTCTAAAGAAAGATATCTTGATCTTTTCCTCCCAGGACAACGACATCTATCCTCCTAGCTCTCGTTCTGCCAGCATGGCTGGTAACTGAACCCACTATTTGCCCTCTTGCAATCTATTGTTTCTCTTTGGCTCGCTTTTCTTTACTTTTCGAGTCTTCCCTCTCTCTCACACACCTCAAACTGCACTGATTTTACCACTCTCTTCTTACCTTATCCATACCCAGTTCCAGTTCTAGTTTCAGTTCCAGTTCCATTCTCATATGAATTCGAATTTCTGAATATAGTTAGATACCAATATAATATATATATATATATCATATATATATAGGTATGCTCTTGCCATGTATTTCCGACATTTCTTTCTATCTACATCCCCGATATCCCTGACTTGGGCCCATCGATCGCTTGTTGAAAAATTCTGTCATTCTCGTCATTCTGATATTGAATACTTTGATCCCCCCATCCATCCTTCCATCCCCCACCACCTAACTCTATCGTTGTCGTCGTCATAGTATTCTGATTCACTCCACATACCAGATATATTACACACTCAGAATCACAACGTTATCGTCCAGCAACAATATCTATATAAACGTTACAATCTGAAACTATCCTTATATCACAGATATCCCGCTTCTATATCAAGAAATAGACGTATTTTTGAGTTTTGCCTGACTTTTTTCGTTTTCAGCCTGTAACATCTCGTTTCTGATAAAGTTCAGCATACGTCACATTTACCACGTTTATAAATAATTTACTAAAATTCTGAGGATCTTGTAAATTATTTCAGTTCAATTCAGTTCAGTTCAATTCAATCTCAAGATTTATCTTTTGTTTTATTGTATTTCTTGACTTTGATCCCAATTTTTATATTTCAATTAATTATCAGTTCGTCTGTTGAATCAAAGATACCATTCTGTGTTCATAACTGTGCATTTATCCTTCACTTGTCATAATTATTATTATTATTTTTCATTCTTTCTTTCAAGTGCCAACTCCCCTACTGTCATAGATCTACTAACTTCACATCCTTTGGGAAACATATCATAACAAGAGAAAAATGGCCCAAACTGATGACGACATTCATATGAAAGAGTTCAACGAACTGCCTACTGAAATCTCAATCAGTGAAGGTGAAACTTCTGGATATATCAGCACAGAATCCAAAATTTCAAGAGCTCTAATAGTTACAGAGCGTTACTTACGCTACTGGTTTAGAATATTTGTCTCTAACTTCCGTAGAGGTCTACTGTTCAAAACTTTGATCTTGTTCAGTATTATTTCACTTCTTTTCATCTTATTTCATCCATCAGGAAGTGTACAATTGCAAAATGTAAATTATCAATATTATTCAGCTATCAACAGTATCCGCTCAATTAAATCGAAAAAAGATTTATTAAATGTTAACATCAGAAATTTATTAAAATATAAACGTTACGAATCTTTACCGTTGACTGATAAAATATTGAACGACGACTATACAAGATATAATATTACTGGCTATGTGTCAAATTTAGACCTGGCAAAACATCTAGCTAATCATAAACCTGAAAAGAAGAAAAACGAGAATGTTCAAAAAGGTGAAATGCTAAGTGAAGGCAACTATCACGAAGGTTACGAAAATATGGTAAGCTGTGATGATTTAGAATATAATAGTTATATCGAATATTCAAATTTTACTAAAATCTTGGAAGATGATCTTATAGAGGCAAGACGTGCTATCATTAAACAAGGTAATAAAGCTTCCAGCGTAGTTAATCCAAAGGACCAACAAGACAAAAAAGAAGAAGATATCATTAATAAGAAATGGTTTAGATTTGGTGCTTCCGCCGTGTGGTTAGAAAAACATCAATGTTTCGTTGTTTACAGCAGAGTTATCTATTCACAATTGGACAGGAGAAATCATCCAAAAACTTCATTTTTAAGGGGTCAAACCTTTGATAAAAATTGGAGAGAAATTAAAGGTAAACGTATTCCATATGATGACGTTACAATACCAACTGATATGATTAATCAAATCGAAAACTTGAGAAATGAATTCGGTGAAACTGATTGTGAAAGTATTAAGAAGAAAAACGGTAAAAATGCTTACGATAAATGTATCACTAATCAGGCAAATGATCGTTTGAAAATAAACAAAGAAATTGAAACCGTTCTTTCCAAATATTATGTCACTTATCCAATCGTTTTTGACCTTCCTTTTGATACTAACGGTGACTTCAAAGGTCCTGAAGATCCTCGTGTTATTAAAAGATCTAACTCAGGCTTTGAAGAACCAATCGTCTTGTTTAACAAACATGACGATTATGAAGGTAAAAGAAGAATGTACGCATTCTTCCCTCATAGAAAGAATGATCCTTTAGTCAAGTTTAAGAGTGATACTTTTGGATTGAGACATAACGAAAAGAATTGGACACCTTTCTTCCATAAGGAATATTACAGAAGTAAGATTTCTCGTGGTTATATTCATTTCATTTATCAATTCATGCCATTCGAAGTTCTAAAATGTAACTTGAATGATGGTTTATGTGAAAAGGTTTTCCAAGCCTCTACCTTGGACTTATCTTCAAAGAACAAACATGATGGTATGAGAGGTGGTACTCAGTTTGTACAATTACCCGCTGAAATTCCAGAAGTTAAAGGAAAACAAATTTGGGTAGGTTTCCCTAAATTGCATATTAAA